CCAAGCACGTGCTTGGTTGGCTGGTGCCTGGAGCCGGCCCTGCCTGGAGAACAAAGACCTGCGTTTACCCACACAACAGGGTACAGCGTGCACAGCATCACGGCAAGTTTCCCGGCCTCCGTCCTGAACTGGAGGGACCACATCTAGCCGGGAGTTCAGTCCTGACTCTGAAAACCTGGCTCCTCTGGTGAGAGAGCCAATTAGTGGCAGTCAATTAGACAATAGGATACAACGAGCTAAATTGGGAAAGCATCTTCTGAACAACCTGGGGCCTCCGGCTCAGCAGCCACAATGGCAACCATTTGCTGAATCAAGGCCCTAAAGGGTGTGTCTATACTGCAGCTAGGGGTGAGCTTCCCAGGGCTGGAAGACAGACATGCGCTGGCACGGCTTGAGCTAGCATGCCAAGAAGAGCAGTGTGGCTGTGATGGCTCAAATGGCAACTCAGGCTCTCAAGCCCACCCGACCCCTTGGGTCAGAGCCGGATCTCTGCCAGTGCTGCAGCGTCAACACAGCTATTTTTAGCACACTAGCTCGAGCCCTGCTCGAACGAGTCCGTCTACACAGCCTGGGAGGCTCACGCCCCAGCTGCAATGTGGACACAACCAAAGTGTGCAATACCCAGTCCAGAGCACTGCAACGCTGAACCAATACCCCCAACTGGTAGCTTTCATGGGCCTGAATTGCTTTCCTTGTGCCTGAACTGCAATACAATTGTAAGCTCCTTGGGGCAGGGTCTGTGTCCTTTTATATGTTGGCAACAGGGCCGGCTCTAGCGTTTTTGCCGCCCCAAGCACACACACAAAAAGCCGTGATCGCCATCGGCAGCAGGTCCTTCGCTCCCAGAGGGAGTGACGGCCCCGCTGCCGAATTGCCGCCGAACGGCCGGACGTGCCGCCCTCCTCTTCATTGGCTGCCCCAGGCACCTGCTTGCTACGCTGGTGCCTGGAGGCAGCCCTGGTTGGCAATAGTGCCTGAGTGCAGTGTCAGTGCTTAGCAGACAAATGATAATACAACGCAACCTTCTCCCACCGTCAGCAGGCAGTCTCCGATTCTCCCTACAGTGAAATTTGATGCTTTCCAGCAAAGGCACACCTCTTCCAGGATGTTGTGCAAAATACGGTACGTTAACGTAGGGGCAGGAAATATTAAATAAGCTGGCCAGAACCAAAGCGAAGCTGTCACTTAGGCTGAGATTTATTAACTCTGAAGAGGAGCAAATTAAAGGTTTTGATGGACCCATCAATCCCACCACTGTGATTTTTCCAAAGGTTGAACCTTTGGGGAGCTACAGTCGTTGCACTAACAGGTTTTTAAAGGTTAGGCATTGGCGCTTCTGTCTGGAGCAGCTCTGCAGAGGAGTTGTTGTTTTTTTCCTTCTTCTTTCATGCTTTATTATTTCCTGATTCTGCAGTGGGATGGGTCTGTTGAGAAAGATTTTCATTCCCTTTGTAGGATTGGTTTTGGCCTTCTGTTTTTATTCAGCAAGGGAGGATTTTAAACCTGGTAAGTTATTAAAAGCGAATGTATTTTAAAAATTAAACAGAAAAAGCCACGTTTGACTGTTTTACACAGGATGTGTACAGAGCCTGAAATGAAACATGTCTGGGCATTTGGAACACTGCAGATAATAGAACACTCTGCTCTGCGGAGCTTTCAAACTACATCAAGCAAGTAACACAGAGAAATATTTTCTTAGGAAACAGGTGAAGTAGGAGTTTTATGATTCGGATTTACGGGGGGGGGCTTTTAACATTCATTTTCACATGATTTATGTTTGTAAAAAAAAGAGCTAGAAAAAGGCTATTTTACAAATAATTTTTTTTTAAAAATCTTTAATAACTTTGAAAATATCTTTTTTGAAAATGGCTGGAAATTTTAATTATCGGGAAAAAAATTCATATCCTGATTTGCAACGTGATGGTTTTTTAAAACAATCTGGCCATGTCCCTATTAATATTGCTTTATTCACATTAGGAATTTTAACTATTCTTCTTACTGCAGTTTTCTTGGGACAAGGCAGAGAGTTTGCCTGGTGCAGGGTGGGCATGCTGGTTTGGGCAGGTTGTATTGGCTTGTTGTCCACTTTGGTTTCTTGACCCCTGCGGGGCACAGAGAGGGGGGGGAATCTTTCTCTGGTATCCTGGTAAATTAACATCCCTGTGCCTTGCTTTCCAGAGATGCTGAAAGGGAAGCGAGTGATTGTCACTGGAGCAAGCACTGGAATTGGAGAGCAAATGGCTTATCACCTGGCGCGGATGGGAGCCCATGTTCTGATCACAGCACGGACGGAAGCCAAGCTTCAGAAAGTACGTACCGAGCACACACACACACACACACACACACACACATGAAAGTCAGTCTTATGTCACACACATAGATGTACAAACACGCATGCACACTCACCATTGCAATGACATGATATGCGCATCGGTACACTCGCATGCTGATTCTCACACATGCACAAACACACACACACACACGCTTGTGAGTGCGCAAACACATGTACATATCCATGCTCATGGTCATGCACACGCATGAACTCTTCTTTTTATACATGTGCTGGTATCCGTGCTCACACCCGCTTAAGTACACATAATCTCATGTGCACTAGCACACAAGCATGCCCTCTCACTGCATTGCAGTAATATACACACGCCCCCACTCATCCTGCAGGCACAGACTTCCACTGCAGAGCAGATTATACTGGTAAATAGCCAGGTTGCTTCAGATTTCCATGGTACACAGACTTTGAAATCCCAGGAGGCTCCAATCCCATTCTCAGATCCTTTAGTGCCCACTGTTTAAAGCCAGAGCCAGTGGGTTCAACATAGTAATCCTATTGGAATCCAGGCTTTGCCCACCCACTGCTAAAGGATCCCCCGCAGCCTAAGGGGGGGTCCACAGGACCTGGAGACCAAAAAATTATGGGGGACAACTAATAAAAGAACAGGGACAGGAGTGAGGTCAAAGGGTCAAACGAAGGGAAACCAGACTTGGCAGGCGGAATGCACTCATTCTACCCACAGAGCCATGTCTATCCGACCATGGATGTAACACACTGAGGTTCTCAGAGGGTCATCAATGGGAAATGTGTTTCTACAACAGGGGTTGCGAGGTTATTACATGGGGGGTCACGAGCTGTCAACCTCCTTCCCAAACCCCGCTTGGCCTCCAGCATTAATAATGGTGTTAAATATATTAAAAAAGTGTTTTTAATGTATAAGTGGGGTGGCACTCAGAGGCTTGCTGTGTGAAAGGGGTCACCAGTACAAAAGTCTGAGAACCCCTGTTCTACAACATTCCGTTCACGTGTTCCAGGTCATCACACGGTGTCTGGAGCTGGGTGCAGCCTCCGCGCAGTACGTGAGCGGCAGCATGGAGGATGAGGCCTTTGCCGAGCATGTGGTGAAGGAGGCTGAGCTACTGCTGGGTACGTTAGCAGCTCACCGTCTGGAAATCGCCATCCGACCTTTAACAAGTGATAAAATGCAGAGAGATGTAGCATCACTCCTTAGCCACATTAAAAAAAACAAACAAGAAAGGGCAGGAAAAATTGGAGGGATGTGGAAATGTCCTTCATCCTTCTCACATTACATTTATGTATGTGTGTGTGTGTGTGTGTGTGTGTGTGTGTAGTA